TTTCCAGAGAGGTTGTTGAGACATCTGCCCCCATGCAGGAAAATTCTGAGTCGTGTGGGATGTGGGAGGACATAGGCCAAAGCCTGAAGGAATTCTCTGCCCCAATAGTTTGGAACTTTCCTCCTGAACAAATTCAGAATCCAGCTGAGGTGGGGAAATATCTGAAAGAAAATTGCAATGGCAGCTCTAAAGAGAAGCAGCTCATTGCAATGTGCTGGGCCCTGGCTACTGCTTATCGCACACTGCTAGACACTGTAGGGCAGCAAATACAGCCAGAAGGGCTGGAGGATGAATCAGCAGACACCCCAGTCACTCCAGCTGCTCCCGGTTTAGCTAACCAGGTGGAGGGCCTAAGCCAGCAGCAATTGCCCCAGTCCAGAGAAGGAAACACAAAATCAAATCCACTTACCCAGTGGATGGCAATGAGGAGTCAGGAGCCTCCCACCAACAGAGGGATTGGAAGCAGAAATAATCACCACATCTCCATCCTTAGAATGCTTTCACAATCTGAGAAAATATCTCAGCCAACGGCCCAATGAGTCTGTATTGAGTTGGTTGGTCCAAATCTGGGACACCACAGTTTACGATACAATTTTGGGTGGTACTGAAGAGAGGCATTTGGGATCTCTGTTACGTGATGTGGGTATTGACCAGGGTATTGCAAAGAGCCCCAAACCTCTCAGCCTCTGGACATGGCTCTTAATAAGTGTGAAAGAAAGACACTTTGCCCTGAAGATCTCCAACTGCATCAAGGGCTCTGGAAGACCATGGAGCAAGGAATCCAACATTTGAGAAAACTGGCAGTGCTAGAGGTCCTTTTCTCAGATGATGACCAAGCCGCTAAAGGTCCAGACATCATAAAATGTACGGCAGTGATATGGCTCCAACTTGCTCAAATCTGGCCACAAATGTACAGCCCTGCCATAACAACGCTGCAGTGGAAGGAGAGGGATGAGACAGTAGTGCTGTGACAAGGAGGCTTCGGTACAATGAAGACATGGTGCATGGCCCAACAGAAGCAAAAATCTCAGCTGTGGAAACAGGCCTGGCAGAGCATATACAGAAAGTGGAAGACAGGATTGAAGAGACCCATCAGAAACTCAGGAAGGAGATTAAAAGAGGACCTTCTCTAAGTCTCGTCGACACAAAGCAGATGCCCTCTTATCAGAGGTAGATGACCCCAGCTAGAGAGAGGGGATACACCCCATGAGATGACCTGTGGTTCTTCCTGTGTAAGCATGGGGAAGATATGAGGTGGGATGGAAAACTCATTTTTGTCCTGGCAGCACAGGTGTGTAAACTAAAGGATAAAACTACTAACAAGGGAATTCAACCAGAAGGAATGTAGCTACAGTTTCCCATAACTGAGCTGCCAGGTATAACAGAAAGGGAGGATGCTATGTCCTCCTCCTTGAAGGAACCTCTAGAATGTATGCAAAGGGAGTCAATGGTAGGCAGGACAAGAGGGGCCCTGGCCTCTAGCCAGGTAGATGTGAGGGAAAATTTGGTCTTTTGGACTGTGTGGATCAGATGCTCTAGCACAACAGAACCACAAAAATTCATGGCTTTGGTTGACACTGTTGCACAATGTACTTTAATCCCACTGGGACATGTGGGGACAGAAACAGTTTCTGTTGTTGGGGCAATAGGGATGTCACAGCAGTTGACTCTGTTGGAAGCTGAGGTGCTCTTGACTAGTAAGGAGAGGAGGAAACACCCTATTGTGACTGGTCTAGAGGTCCCCCGTATTCTGGGCGTAGATTTCCTCAGGAGTGGTTTTTTCAAAGACCCTAAAGGACTCAGGTGGTCTTTTGGAATAGCTGCTGTGAAGGCAGAGGGCACTAAATACCTTGCCTGGTGTCTCAGAGGACCCTTCTGCAGTAGGACTCCTGAGGGTAGAAGAACATCAGGTACCATTGCTACCACTACAGTACATCATCGGCAATACCACACAAACTGAGATTCCGTGATTCCCATACATGGTATGATCCATGAACAGGAGAGCCAGGGAATGGTCAGTAAGACCCATTCATGGTTCAACAGTCCCATTTAGCCTTTGCACAAGTCTGATGGGGAATGGACATTGATTGTGGACTACTGTAGCCTAAATGAGCTGTCACTGAGAGCTGCTGTGCCAGACATGCTGGAGCTCCAGTACAAGCTGGAGTCCAAGGCAGCAAAGCGATATGCCACTATTGACATTGCCAATGAGTTTTTCTCCATTCCTATGGCAGAAGAGTGCAGGCCTCAGTTTGCTTTCACCTGGAGGGGTGTGCAGTACACCTGGAACTGACTGCCCCAGGGACGGAAGCATGGCCCCACCATCTGCCATGGACTGACCCAGGCTGCACTGGAAAAGAGTGAGGCTCCAGAACATCTGCAGTACATGGATGACATCATTGTGTGGGGGAACATTGCAGGGGAGGTTTATGAGAAAGGAGAGAGAATAATCCTGAGTCTCCTGAAAGCAGGTTTGCTATCAAATGAAGTAAAGGGGCCTGCCCAAGAAAATCATTTCCTAGGGATGAAATGGCAAGCTGGATGCAGACAGGTGCCAACAGATAGGATTACTAAGATAAGTGCTGTGTCCCCATGACCAGCAAAAAAGAGACACAAGCTTTTCTAGGCACCGTGGACTTTTGGAGAATGCACATCCTGGAATACAGACAGATTGTAAGACCTCATTACCTCATGACACAAGAGAAGAAGGATTTTGACTGGCGCCCTGAGCAAGGGCAAGCTTTTGAGCAGATCAAGCATGAGATTGCCCATGCAACAGCACTTGGGCCTGCCAGGACAGGACAGGATGTGAAGAATGTGCTCTACACCACAGCCACGGAGAATGGTCCATCCTGGAGCCTCTGGCAGAAGAGACCTGGGGAGACTCGAGGCTGACCTCTTGGGTTTTGGAGCCATGCATACAGAATCTGAGGCCAGCTACACCCCAAGAGAGGGAAGAGATGCTTGCAGGCTATGAAGGGGTTTGAATTGCCTCAGAAGTGACTGGCACTGAAGCACAGCTCCTTCTGGTAGCCTGACTACCAGTGCTGGGCTGGATATTTAAAGGAAAGTTCCCTGCAATACATCATGCCACCAATGCTACCAGGAGGAAATGGATGACTCACATCACAGTGAGGTCAAATAGGAAATCCATGTTGCCCTGGCATCTTGGAAGTCACCACAAACTGGTCCAAAGGTGAGAGCTTTTGATTTCCTTCAGAAGAGGAAGAACAGGTGTCATGTGCTGAGGAAGCCCCACCATATATCCAGCTTCTGGAGAGTGAAGGACGGTACACCCTCTTCACTGATGGATCCTGCTGTATTGTAGGGACCAGTAGGAAATGGAAAAGAGCTGTGTGGAGCCCTATGCTGGGAGTTGCAGAAGCTACTGAAGGATGAAGTGGATCCAGTCAGATTGCAGAGCTGAAAGTTCTGGCTTTGGACATTGCTGTATAAGAGAAGTGGCCAACACTCTACCTCTACGCTGACTGCTGCATGGTAGCAAATGGTCTGGCAGTGTCTGAAAAGGTGGAAAGAGGCCAAATGCAGCATAGAGGAAAACCAGTCTGGGCTGCTGAAGAAAGGCAAGACATCACTGCCTGGGAAGAGGAGCTGACTGTTAAAGTTTGTCATGTGGATGTCCCCATGTCCAGGACTCAGGCAATAATGAACAGGTGGATCAGGCTACATATTCAAGGTGTTACAGATAAATTTTGGATTGGCAACATAAGGGGAAGTTGTTCCTAGCTCAATGGGCCCATGATACCTCAGGTCAGCAGGGCAGAGAGGCTACCGATAAGTGGGCCCAAGACTAGGGGAGGATTTAACCATGGACACAGTCTTGCAGGTTATCTATGATTTGAGGTATGCTGATAGAACAAGGGGCAATGGCTTTTGATCCTTCCCTGAGGAGTTTCAGGATGGCCTACCATTAATTTTTTATCCCAACATGAATATTGTGGAGTTGAATAAATGGGTATAAAATCTTGGGGAGTATTTCTACAGTATCTAGGTGATTTGTAAATTGGCAAGTTAGGAAGTCTGTTGCCCATCCTGTGGTGATTATGTGCAGCACTCAAGCAAATGAGCACAGCAAGATTCAGTTTGTGTATGTGCATCTGGCTCTTTGATTGCTCCATCTCTCCATTTGCCAGGCTTATACAGCCCTCTCATCTTCCTCAACTCCTCCCTCTCTCTGCCGTCACCTCCTCCCAAATACAGAGCCAAGCCCAGGAATCTTTTCCCCCTGGCTCCCAGGCTGGCCCTGCCTGTGAACAGCCTTGGTGTTGCAGCTGCTCTTGGCCCACTCAGCTTGGCCTCCCATGGCATTCCTGGTGTGCTCTCCTACTGTTCCTGCCAGGTTCCTCTCCCCAGAATGACCCCAGCTCTTCCTTTGAGTATCTGGGAAGTGTGACCTCCTGGTACATCAATCCCTGCTTAGTACCAGTGAAATCTGGCTCTGCCTTGGGGCACTGGCACTCCAGTCAGGAGCCAGGAGTTTCCCTTGTCATGCTTGGGACTTTTCCAGATCTGTTACCTTAGCCCAGGCTCACACCAGGCCCTAATGAGCAGCCCATGGGCCTTTGAGCACCACCCCAAAAGTGTCTGTTTTTTTCCTATTCCCTTCCTGGGTTTGATGGACCAGATTCCTCCAACCCTTGGTGGTTCAGAGCACTCTTCTCTCTGACCAGGCACTTTGGGGCTCTTTGGATCCACTGTGCCTTTGTGCCCTCCGGCCCATTCTGCAGATGCTGAGTGGCACTTGTTGCCTTGCCCAGGAGCAGGAATTGCACTGAAAAAAGATGGTTAGCTATGAACAATGGGAATTTTATTTCAACAACTAAATCAACTCCAGTGTTTGTGTGCACAGAGGAGAGGAGTGTGGGCAGGACAGAGCAGGTTTTTGACCCTGACGCTACCTTTGGATCAGCAGGCATTGTCCCAGCAGGAAATGGTTGAGGTACTCTGCAGCCTGCTCTGGATCCTGCCTGTCCTGCTGCTCAAGAAGCACTTTCAATTGCGTGTGCATGCATGTTGTACTCGATCCAGTCATAGAAGTGCTGAATGGACGTATAGACTCCGGGCCGCTTTGGCCTGGCGCAGCCTTTTCCAAAGCTGGTTATTCCAATGACCCACCAGTACTCAGCGTTGTTGTCTTGGCACATGAGAGGACCACCACTGTCACCCTGCAGCAGAGCAGAGAGGATTAAGGTGGTATTGGTGGCCCCTGCCAGCATTGGGGCTGTCTCCTCCTCTCTCACAGCCCCTGCCAGAGCTGTATTCCCAGCAGAGGAAAGCTCTGCTCAGGAGCTGGAGCCTCCAGAGGCTTGGCTGTGAATGTCTTTGGGTCCTGTAGGGTAGGACTCTCTCTGTCCTCTCTGCAAAGGGCTCCTGCAGGTGCAGAGGATGAACATTTGGCACCTGCACCTCTGGGCTGCCAAGAGCAGTAGCTGGGCTTTCTGGGCTTTCAGGCACAAGGGGAGCCCTGTGCAGGCAGGTGTGGATGGGGAGTGTGTGGGAAGTCCCCACAGCAGCAGCCGGGGGTAGCCGGGGCTGGGAGAGCGACTGAGTGGCCGGGCAAAGCAGGTCCTGGTCTGTGTTGGGGTGGTGCTGCCGGTGCTGCTGGGGGCTGAGTGGCTCATGACCCGCTCCTACCTGGCAGCTATCGATGTTTCCCTGTGGGTAACCAGCACACAAGTTGTGGGTGTGCACTGCTCCTGCGTACCATCCACTGCTGTTGCAGAGTTGGACATCGATGAGCTGGACCTTGGCCTCCTGCAGGTGATCAGCTGTCTGTTGAGCTGTGAGCAGAGAAAGGAATAAGCCTCTGGCAGCTCCATGCTACTTCTACTGTTCTGTGTGTGGGGGATGGTTTTCCCTAGGGCATGGCTTTCCCTCTGCAGAGGCACTGGGGTGCTGTGTCCCTGCTCTCTGCCTTTGGGGAGCAGGCCAGGCCCATCTCTGCAGAGGTGTTTGTCCAACAGCCTGGCTGTGGCCTCTGCTGTGGGGAAGCCCAAACCCTCTTCTCAGTGCTGTTAACTGGCTCAGGAGTTGTTCTTGGAACTCACCTCTTGCAGTGGTGGCACCCCAGCCAGCAATCCAGCAGTTGTAGAGCTCTGAGACCCTTAGGGCGGGGTCAGCCACACAGGCCAGCTGGATGTAGGGGCTGCACAGGACAGGGTAGTCCAATTGTAACAGGGCGATGTCGTAGCTGTAGTCGGCAGAACTGTAGTACGGGTGTATCACCACCTGCTTGACATTGCGCACTACGGCCCCAGCGCCTGGCTGAGACAACTGGGTGGCTCCAATCACCACGTACATCATGGTGATGTTACTGGAAAGGAGATGGAGAGAGGTCTGAGAGGGAGCAGAGCCATGTGCCACAGCAGCCCAACAGTTGCCAGACCTCTGCATGGCAAAGCAGAGAGGGAGCAGGGCTCTGGCAGGTGTGAGTGCCCTTGTACACCTGAGGCTGGGAGAATGTCAAGCTGAAAGCTGCTGGGAAGCCTTGGCACAAGGCCAGGCTTCTCCTGAGCAGTGTGGCAGCTGGGCTGCCTGAGAGGAAAGGGGAGGGGAGTAGCAGGTGGTGCTGCTGGCAGGGCACCTGCTGGTGTTGTGGGGATGTCCCCATTCCCTGCTCCTCCTTACTTATACTCATCGAAGCAGTGGGCTGCTGTGAGGACCCACTCTGCAGTGATGAGAGACCCTCCACAGAAATGCCCTAGGTATGGTGCCCAGGGATGCTGGAGGCTGACGATCCATGGCCAGGATGCTTCCACGGCACCTGCGCCTCCCACGATGCGTGTCATGCCGTAGTCAAAAGCAATGTTGCGGTTGTAGACAGGAGCTCGGAACCCACAGGACCCTCTGCAAGCAGAAAGTGATTTCCATGCTGCTCCATGGCCTGCTGTGGCTCAGGCTGAAGCTCAGCCCTCTGCCCTCCCCACAAGGGCTTGCAGGCACAGCAGGCCAGGGAAGCCCATGGGGTGTGTGTCTGTCCGTGCCAGCAGCTGGCTGCTGGCAAGGAGCTGAGGCTGTCCCATGGTGGGTGGGAAGCTGTGGCCCGGCCATGGGGGCCAGGCGGGGCCCTGCAGGGAAGGCCCCAAGTGTTGCCGTGGCTCCCTGCCAGGGCCTGGGGCCACTTACCCGCAGGTGTACTCTATGCTGTGGGCCAGCCCGGCCACGGTCAGCAGGACGAGGAGACTGAGCCAGTTCATGGCTGCCAGAGGCCCGTGTGAGCAGCAAGCACTGAGGGCTCCGTGCAGCAGCACAGCCACAGCCGCAATGCCCACAGCAGCCACGCTGCCCTTGGTGCCCTCGGTGCAGGGGCTGATGTCACAGAGCGGTGGGTTCCGTGTTCTGAGTGCTGGATGGGGGTCTGGGGCACTGGGGGAGGGGCAGTAACTAATTGAGGAGCTATAGAATGGTTTATGGTAGAAGGGAGCTTTGGAGATCATCCAGCGTTGATCCCCTTGCTTTGGGCGTGGAGAGATAGCTTGCACTGGAAAAGGTTGTTCAGAGCCTGTCTCAGAATCTGTCCTTGGATTCTTCAAGGGATGAGGCATTGAAGTACTAAATCCTGGTCAACAGGCCCCAGTTGCGCAGGAACCACTGTTGACTTTTAGACTGACTTTCTAACAAATTATTATCCATAACCACTCACTGGCAGAACATGGATTTACCTTTCCCTGTTTAGAGCTGGACAAGGCCACATCTGGCCTTCTTTTGGGTTGTAGGATCACAGACAACTCCCTTGGTTCGTCCTGGAGCCCTCCAAGGCCTTGGGAGCATCCCAATACAAGAACAAAACCCGATGTTCCTGCAGTAGAAGATATGGCAATTTGTTTATTCAACAGTATAAAAACAGGGCCCTCTCACAGCGCAGTCAGAAACCTCGTTGCCTGTAGGGGAAGGCACCTGCAGAATTTCCCACTTGCCAGGAGTGGTTCCCCAGTATTGTGACAGTGGCTTCCCCCAGCTGATGGGCAGATCTGGATGATGGTAAAGGATTAGGGTAACTTGTAATGTTATGCTTTCTTCACCACTACAGGCAATCTTTTACAGTAATGATTGGATGCATTGCTTAGCTTATCCTTTTGCAATTCTTTGCAGTTTTGAATGACAGTAAATTAATGCTTAATCCTGAGGTTGGTGTCTGCGTCTTCTGTGCTGACCCTGACTGTGGGAAAAGCAGGGTTCCACACTGCTCTGGGCAGCCTGTGCCTCAGTGCCTTGGAGTGATTTACTGTGGCAGTGGATTCAGATATCCTCTGCTTTTTCCAGAAATTGTTACTGCATCATTAAAACCCTGGAACCTCGGGACCTTGTGCATGGGAGGCCGGGGGAAAGGAGTGGGTTTCTTTTGTGTGGGTGTTGCAAAAGATTTTCCTTTCCTTGTCTTGGGGAATCTGCAGTAGTGATTTTGGGCTGCCTTGAGGCAAGTCGAGCAGCTGCTTGTCCGAGACCAGGGACATCACACCGGCAGGAGCAGAGCTTCCCCACTCCGACCCAAACCACTGAGAACTGCGCCAAGCTGTGGAGAGAACACGCCAAGGGGCTCCAGCCCAGCTATTTTGCCTGACACCACTGTTCTGCTGTTCTTTGCTGTGGGGAGGAGGTTGGTGTCAGATGAGCCATGAGGCCTTTGTCTGCTGCTGGGCCTTTGTCTGCTCCGTGAGGCTACTGCCTTCCAAAGGGGGAGAAGTTGATGCCGTCTTGTATCACATTCCAGGAATGGGTATTCTCCAGCATTTTGGGTCTCCTTTTGTTCTGGTGGGGTGGTGAGGTCTAACACTTTGGTATGTACAAGTTATTTACTTTTTATTTTTTTCCTGCCTGTTGGCATTTGGTTTGTTACTAAAACATTGAGGTTTTGTTGTTTTTTTTTTTTCACTTTCATTTATTAGTATTCATTCCTTACTGGCAGAAAGGGATTCTTAGAAGTCTAAAGGAGATATCCCAGATGGTTCTCTTTTAAATTGCCTCAAAATGAGACAAAATTTGTTGCCCAACTTAAGGGGGCAACAGAAAATGAAAAAGAAAAAAATCACATTCCTGTCTGAAAGACTTTGCATTGGGTACAACAGTCAGTGGTCACCATGCTGCCTGGTTCAATCACGGCCTCCTGGCACCGAGGCATGGCTGCTTATCCACATGTATTGGCAATCCTGGCCCTGGTATATATCTTCTTCATATCAGGGACACAAATCAGAATCGCTGTGTAGATATTCTCTGTGCTAATAATTTATGGAAAGATAACATCAGAGGGAATGAGAGTTATTTGGGATGTGTATTCTCTGCTGTTTCCCTGTGACAGTCTCAGCAGTATTATTTTGAGATTTATTAACAATTGCTCTCAGTCTGTTGGGGGGAAAGTAGGGGATGATTTTTCCCAGCCTTTTCCTTCCTTATTCCTCTTCAATTCTGGCACATCATCTTTTGAGAAGATTCCATTCCTTCTGGATGTTAAAGATATCATACTTTCTTTTTTAAGATTCTGGTAACTCTCCTCCGTAAGACCTACAAGACATTTAGAATCAGGGCTGAGATTTTCAGAGAGGTTGTTGAGACATCTGCCCCCATGCAGGAAAATTCTGAGTCGTGTGGGATGTGGGAGGAGCAAAGCCTGAGGGAATTCTCTGCCCCAATAGTTTGGAACTTTCCCCCTGAACAAATTCAGAATCCAGCTGAGGTGGGGAAATATCTGAAAGAAAATTGCAATGGCAGCTCTAAAGAGAAGCAGCTCATTGCAGTGTGCTGGGCCCTGGCTACTGCTTATCGCACACTGCTAGACACTGTAGGGCAGCAAATACAGCCAGAAGGGCTGGAGGATGAGTCAGCAGACACCCCAGGCACTCCAGCTGCAGCTAAACCAGGTGGGGAGCCTAAGCCACCAACAAACAAACCGAGACTCCGTGATTCCCATACATGGTATGATCCATGAACAGGAGAGCCAGGGAATGGTCAGTAAGACCCATTCATGGTTCAACAGTCCCATTTAGCCTTTGCACAAGTCTGATGGGGAATGGACATTGACTGTGGACTACTGTAGCCTAAATGAGCTGTCACTGAGAGCTGCTGTGCCAGACATGCTGGAGCTCCAGTACAAGCTGGAGTCCAAGGCAGCAAAGCGATATGCCACTATTGACATTGCCAATGAGTTTTTCTCCATTCCTATGGCAGAAGAGTGCAGGCCTCAGTTTGCTTTCACCTGGAGGGGTGTGCAGTACACCTGGAACTGACTGCCCCAGGGACGGAAGCATGGCCCCACCATCTGCCATGGACTGACCCAGGCTGCACTGGAAAAGAGTGAGGCTCCAGAACATCTGCAGTACATGGATGACATCATTGTGTGGGGGAACATTGCAGGGGAGGTTTATGAGAAAGGAGAGTGAATAATCCTGAGTCTCCTGAAAGCAGGTTTGCTATCAAATGAAGTAAAGGGGCCTGCCCAAGAAAATCATTTCCTAGGGACGAAATGGCAAGCTGGATGCAGACAGGTGCCAACAGATAGGATTACTAAGATAAGTGCTGTGTCCCCATGACCAGCAAAAAAGAGACACAAGCTTTTCTAGGCACCGTGGACTTTTGGAGAATGCACATCCTGGAATACAGACAGATTGTAAGACCTCATTACCTCATGACACAAGAGAAGAAGGATTTTGACTGGCGCCCTGAGCAAGGGCAAGCTTTTGAGCAGATCAAGCATGAGATTGCCCATGCAACAGCACTTGGGCCTGCCAGGACAGGACAGGATGTGAAGAATGTGCTCTACACCACAGCCACGGAGAATGGTCCATCCTGGAGCCTCTGGCAGAAGAGACCTGGGGTGACTCGAGGCTGACCTCTTGGGTTTTGGAGCCATGCATACAGAATCTGAGGCCAGCTACACCCCAAGAGAGGGAAGAGATGCTTGCAGGCTATGAAGGGGTTTGAGCTGCCTCAGAAGTGACTGGCACTGAAGCACAGCTCCTTCTGGTAGCCTGACTACCAGTGCTGGGCTGGATATTTAAAGGGAAGTTCCCTGCAATACATCATGCCACCAATGCTACCTGGAGGAAATGGATGACCCACATCACAGTGAGGTCAAATAGGAAATCCATGTTGCCCTGGCATCTTGGAAGTCACCACAAACTGGTCCAAAGGTGAGAGCTTTTGATTTCCTTCAGAAAAGGAAGAACAGGTGTCATGTGCTGAGGAAGCCCCACCATATATCCAGCTTCTGGAGAGTGAAGGACGGTACACCCTCTTCACTGATGGATCCTGCTGTATTGTAGGGACCAGTAGGAAATGGAAAAGAGCTGTATGGAGCCCTATGCTGGGAGTTGCAGAAGCTACTGAAGGATGAAGTGGATCCAGTCAGATTGCAGAGCTGAAAGTTCTGGCTTTGGACATTGCTGTGTAAGAGAAGTGGCCAACACTCTACCTCTACGCTGACTGCTGCATGGTAGCAAATGGTCTGGCAGTGTCTGGAAAGGTGGAAAGAGGCCAAATGCAGCATAGAGGAAAACCAGTCTGGGCTGCTGAAGAAAGGCAAGACATCACTGCCTGGGAAGAGGAGCTGACTGTTAAAGTTTGTCATGTGGATGTCCCCATGTCCAAGACTCAGGCAATAATGAACAGGTGGATCAGGCTACATATTCAAGGTGTTACAGATAAGTTTGGATTGGCAACACAAGGGGAAATTGTTCCTAGCTCAATGGGCCTGTGATACCTCAGGTCAGCAGGGCAGAGAGGCTACCAATAATTGGGCCCAAGACTAGGGGAGGGTTTAACCATGGACACAGTCTTGCAGGTTATCCATGATTTGAGGTATGCTGATAGAACAAGGGGCAATTGCTTTAGAGTGACAGAGGGTAGCTTTGTAAACATCTTCTCTGAAGAGCTGCAGTATGCCCTGCTGCCATAATCCCTTTCCTCCCAGCCCCCAGAAATTGTCCGACTAGCTCCAGTCCGCCAGGAGTTGGAGGGTTTCAGCAGGACAAAGGTAAAGGACGAAGGAGGCTCTTTCTTCCCTGGACACTGTCACTTGGTTTATTCTGGAACTGCTCCAGGGAAAAAAAGACAGAGGAAGGAGTCATGGAGATTTTTAAACTGAGGGGAAAAGAGGAGTGGAAGGCAGGTTACAGCCAGTGGAGTGAAACCGAAGGAGAGGGGCAAGGGGGAAAGATCCAACACACCACCCAGGTGGGGCGCAACTTGGAAACACCACTTAGTGTAACATATAGTGCAACATGAAACCCTACCATTTATTTTCCTCCTGCACATGAATATTGTGAAGTTGAATAAATGGGTACAAAATCCCACTGGACTGGGATTTTATTTGGGGTGAATTTGTAAAGTATGTAGGTGATTTGTAAATTAGAAAGTTAAGATAAGAAATTTCTTACCCACCCTGTGGTGATTATGTGCAGCACTCAAGCAAATGAGCACAACAAGATTCAGTTTGTGTATGGGCTCTTTGATTGCTCCATCTCTCCATTTGCCAGGATTATACAGTCCCCTCATCTTCCTCAACTCCTCCCTCTCTCTGCCCTCACCTTCTCCCTAATATGGAGCCATGAATTGTTTCTATCCTAAATGCTTTTTTGTTGGCGTGAAACTGCCTAATGTTAGCATACAAAGTAGATAAAAAATTTGTAGTAGCTAAAAATCCTTTAATTAAACTAAGATACTGTTCTGCCCAAAGAACGTGTACGTTCTTTCTAACTTCCTGTGATAAAGGAACTAAAATAGATTCCGCGTGAATGACTAAATCATTTATGTTAGGAAAAAAGTCATCAGGCAAAGTTTCAATAGCAGCAAGAGACTGTTTTCCCCCTGGCTCCCAGGCTGGCCCTGCCTGTAAACAGCCTTGGTGTTGCAGCTGCTCTTGGCCCACTCAGCTTGGCCTCCCATGGCATTCCTGGTGTGCTCTCCTACTGTTCCTGCCAGGTTCCTCTCCCCAGAATGACCCCAGCTCTTCCTTTGAGTATCTGGGAAGTGTGACCTCCTGGTACATCAATCCCTGCTTAGTACCAGTGAAATCTGGCTCTGCCTTGGGGCACTGGCACTCCAGTCAGGAGCCAGGAGTTTCCCTTGTCATGCTTGGGACTTTTCCAGATCTGTTGCCTTAGCCCAGGCTCACACCAGGCCCTAATGAGCAGCCCATGGGCCTTTGAGCACCACCCCAAAAGTGTCTGCTTTTTTCCTATTCCCTTCCTGGGTTTGATGGACCAGATTCCTCCAACCCTTGGTGGTTCAGAGCACTCTCCTCTCTGACCAGGCACTTTGGAGCTCTTCGTATCCACTCTGTCCCTTTGTGTTTGGCAGGTCTGCCTTCAGGCTCATCCTGCAGGTGCTAATCATGGCAATCCTTGCCCTGCTCTGGAGTCAGAATTCAATCAAAAATATGGTTCCCAGTGATGATAGGCAACTTTACTTCAACAACTAAATCAACTCCAGTGTCTATGTGCACAGGAGAATGTGGGCAGAACAGAACACGTTTCTGACACTGAGACTGCCTTTGGATAAATAGGGTTGATTGCCCCTGAGGGAAACAGTTGCTGTGCACTCCAGCACATCCTACATGGTGCACACTCTGGTGCTCAAGAAACACTTTGAATATTCTTTTTGCCCATGTGGAATAGGATCCAGTCATAGAAGTACTGAGTGGACGTGTAGACTCCAGGCCGCCTTGCTCTGCCGCAACTTTTTCCCCAGCTGGTCACTCCAACAACCCACCAGGAGTCAGCGTGGTTGTCCTGGCACATGAGAGGACCACCACTGTCACCCTGCAGCAGAGCAGAGAGGATTAAGGTGGTGTTGGTGGCCCCTGCCAGCATTGGGGCTGTCTCCTCCTCTCTCACAGCCCCTGCCAGAGCTGTATTCCCGGCAGAGGAAGGCTCTGCTCAGGGGCTGGAGCCTCCAGAGGCTTGGCTGTGAATGGCTTGGGGTCCTGTAGGGTAGGGCTCTCTCTGTCCTCTCTGCACAGGGCTCCTGCATGTGCAGAGGATGGACATTTGGCACCTGCACCTCTGGGCTGCCAGGAGCACTAGCTGGGCTTTCTGGGCTTTCAGGCACAAGGGGAGCCCTGTGCAGGCAGGTGTGGATGGGGAGTGTGTGGGAAGCCCCCACAGCAGCCGGGGGTAGCCGGGGCTGGGAGAGTGACTGAGTGGCTGGGCAAAGCAGGTCCTGGTCTGTGTTGGGGTGGTGCTGCCAGTGCTGCTGGGAGCTGAGTGGCTCGTGGTACGCTCCTACCTGGCAGGTGTCGATGTTTCCCTGTGGGTAACCAGCACACAAGTTGTAGGGGTGCAGTTCCCCTGCATACCAGAAGGTACTATTGCATAGTTGGATATTGATGAGGTGCACCATGGCCTCCTGCAGGTGATCACTTGAGTTTTGAGCTGTGAGCAGAGAAAGAAATGAGCCCCTAGCAGCTCCTTCCCAGTTCTCCTCCCTTGTCTGGGGGGAATCTGTTTCTCTAGGGCATGGCTTTCCCTCTGCAGAGGCACTGGGGTGCTGTGTCCCTGCTGCCCGCCTTTGGGGAGCTTGCCAGGCCCATCTCTGCAGAGGTGTTTGTCCAACAGCCTGGCTTTGGCCTATACCATGGAGAAGCCCAGACTGATGCCCCAGTGTGATGAACTAGCTATCGACTCTCTTGGGAACTCACCTCTTGCAGTGGTGGCACCCCAGCCAGCAACCCAGCAGTTATGCTCCTGTGACACTGACACTCCTAGGATAGCATCGGCCACACAGGCCAGCTGGATGTAGGGACTGCACTGGACAGGCTGGCTCAATTCCAGCAAAGCAATGTCATAGCTCATGTCATGTCTCTTATAGTTTTCGTGACGAAGCAGCTTCTTAATTTGGCGCACTTGTGCTCCAGGTCCTGGCTGAGTCAATTGCGTGGCCCCAATCACCACATACATCAAGCTGGTGTTACTGGTAAGGAGATGGAGAGAGGGCTGAGGGGGAGCAGAGCCACGTGCCACTGCAGCCCAGCATTTGCTAGACCTCTGTGTGTTCTGGCAGGTGTGAGTGCCCTTGCACAATTTAGGCTGGGGGAATGTCAAGCTGAAAGCTGCTGGGAAGCCTTGGCACAAGGCCAGGCTTCTCCTGAGCAGTGTGGCATCTGGGCGGCCTGAGAGGAAAGTGGAGGGGAGTAGCAGGTGGTGCTGCTGGCAGGGCACCTGCTGGTGTTGTGGGGATGTCCCCATTTTCTGCCCCTTCTTACAAAATAAGGTCGAAGCAGTGGGCTGCTGTGAGGACCCACTCTGCCCTGATGAGAGACCCTCCACAGAAATGCTTTGTGCCTGGTATCCTGGGATGCTGGATGCTGACCATCCATGGCCAGGCCCCTGGCAGGGCACCTGTGCCACCCACGATGCGTGTCATGGCGTAGTCATGACTCTTATATCCAGAGTCAGACACCATGGGTCGGAGTCCACAAGTCCATCTGCAAGCAGAAAGTGATTTCCATGCTGCTCCATGGCCTGCTGTGGCTCAGGCTGAAGCTCAGCCCTCTGCCCTCCCCACAAGGGCTTGCAGGCACAGCAGGCCAGGGAAGCCCATGGGGTGTGTGTCTGTCCGTGCCAGCAGCTGGCTGCTGGCAAGGAGCTGAGGCTGTCCCATGGTGGGTGGGAAGCTGTGGCCCGGCCATGGGGGCCAGGCGGGGCCCTGCAGGGAAGGCCCCAAGTGTTGCCGTGGCTCCCTGCCAGGGCCTGGGGCCACTTACCCGCAGGTGTACTCTATGCTGTGGGCCAGCCCGGCCACGGTCAGCAGGACGAGGAGACTGAGCCAGTTCATGGCTGCCAGAGGCCCGTGTGAGCAGCAAGCACTGAGGGCTCCGTGCAGCAGCACAGCCACAGCCGCAATGCCCACAGCAGCCGCGCCACCCATGGTGCTCTTGGCCCCAGGGCTGATGTCACGGAGGAGAGGATTCTGTGTTCTGGTCACTGTGGGAGTCTGTGGCATGAAGGCCCACTGGGGCAACATAAAATCAAGAAGCAATAGAATGGTCTGGCTTGGAAGGGAGTTTGGAGACCATAAAGCTCCAAAAATCTGCCATGGGTATTGAGGGATTACACCAGGGATCCCAGGAATGCATGGGGAGGGCCTTGCACTAGATCCAGTTTTACAGAGTGTCAAGAGCTTGACTTGAGAGCAGCCCTTGTATGAACCCTTGCATCAACCCAATACCCTCAGAGTAGAGAATTCCTTCATATGATCCTGTCTAAAACTACCCTCTGTCACTGTAAAGCCATTGCCCCTTGTGTCACTATCCGCAAAGTGAGATTCGTGATGTGGTTCTTTTATTCAATCTTAGAGTACAAAAGATTATCAGCAAACCAGGGACTCAAACAGTAAAACACACTTTATTGAGTGCTCATCAGCACTAATATGTGATAGAGGGGAAAAGAGGAGAAAGCAAAGCATAAGAAAAAGAGAGTAAGGGGATTATAGCTACCAACGTCGAAGTCCACTCAGCCGTCCAACGATGCAGAGTCTTCTGTCTGTTGGGGAGATCTCAAAGGAAGGTAAGTTTGGGGTGTGATTTTGTAGCCTTTTACAAAGCAAGGGGCACAGGGCCAAAACCAGAGGAGATTGATGATCATTGTGATGAATTCCATTGTGCAGGGGGCAGGTGTAGGATACAGAGCAAACCATGTCTTGCAAGTGTTTGCTCACCAGCAGGAACGAGAGCAATGTGTCGTGGAAACCCATTGCACAGGGTACCACGCACAAGCCTCTGCTCACCAGCAGGAACGAGGGCAGTGTACCGGGCAACCACCTGCAAACAAACACTTAGCAAACATCCACCTCAGCTAGGCCCAAACTCCTAAACCAAGTCCCTTGTGATATTCAGGGTCTCAGTCTCTGTCCTTGAGATGGTTGTGAGACAGATGAGAGAATCTTCGGACCGTCCCTTACACCTTGTCCTGTCAGGACCTGCCCTTGTAAGAAGGCTCGCTGCTGCTGTCTTTAAGCCCCTCTTTCTGCAGGATGAGATTGTGTAGTTCCCAGGGAAGGCAGCTGCTGAGGAATCCATTTGGGGCGGGGAGCTGGCTGTGCAGCTGCAATGCCAGCTGCAGATTGAGCTCTGGCTGACAGGAGCCCAGGACCAGAGGCAGTGAAATCCCCACAGTTTGCATAACAGAGGGCACAGGGAGCTGTTCCACCGGCCAGGGGTTTGAAATGGACACTGAGTGTGGCAGCAGGAGCCGGTGGCTCTTTATTGAACATGACATTGGCGGCAAGTCTGCTGGGGGATTCATGGGGCAGAACGGGTATGGAAATCTGCTCTGTCTGGGTGACAGTGGCATGGGTAGGGAATTAAATGGGGCATCCATTAGCTCGCTGGAGCAACCCTTGCCTTGGAATAGTCACACAAGGGACTTTCCTCAGCACTATGGCATCCCAGACAGGACTGTAGAGAAGTACACTTGGAGCCCCCCTTCTCCAAATGTGCAGCAGGTGAGTTTCCCTGGGATTTTTAGAGCAGAACGGAGCCAAAGGGGGAGTGTTACAATTCCATGCACAGATTCTATGTAAATGATAAGGGTGGATTTGAGCCTCTCTGTTGTTGCAGACTTTGGTGCAGATTTGGTGAAATCACTGGTAGAGAGAGGGTGGAGAAGGCGTGTGCAGCATGGTCCGTGTAAGGCAGCCACAGAGGAGTTGTGGAGGTCCCCCTAAGGTGCAAGGGGTGGGGGGGGGAGAGCTGAAGTCTCTGCTAGGATGCTTGAGTCTCTGCTTGAAGGGTTTTGGAGACAGGCACAGGGAGAGCTTTGTGTCCCTCGTGCCACACAGTGGGTGCTAGGGTCCCCAGGCACAGGGGGCTGAAGTCCCTTCTTGGCATGCAAAAAGGAGTTTCATGTCCCTTGTACTTTTTGATGTGATGGGAAATATCCCTGCTGTAGTTCAGAGGGCGCCCATGGCTGAGGTTGTGCAACACTGACAGAAATTCTTATCGGCAGCAGAATTTTGCCAAGACAGCACAATAAGATTGTGCCAGGGCAGTTGGGTGACTCGAAGCTGGTCTGATCACTGGGCAGGGTAATGGCCTTCTGTTGCACCGTATTAGGACCGGCAAAGTGATGACAGACTCTCTCGCTTTGGCTGCAAAAGAGAGCAAGTTTTATTCTTCCAGATCTTTTATAGACAGTTCTGAGACGGTCCAGAAAGGTAAAACTCTCGTTGGTCATGAAACCAACACATCACCATCACTGGACAGTTAGGAACACCCCTTGACTGTTTCTTGCAAGTAAACAACAAGGCAATAAACAACACCTGCAAAGATTGTTTTCCCTCTGCAAGGACTGTTTGGATTCCTCCGTATGATTTCTCAGGCCTGAGTGAGAAAGTTGTGTGAAAGAAAGGTGTGACTTAGTTTCACACAGGCTCAAGCTAATGCCTGAAGCCTAAAAATCTCCTATTTGACCACTGTCAGCTCCCACAGCCTTCCCCAGCCTTGAGTGTCACTCTTGCACTCAATGTCTCCAGTGAGCAAGCAGCCTCTGAAATTTACTTCAGGAAATATTTGAAGAAGCTTATGGCAGGGTGGCAGGGACCAGTACAGATGTGGGGTGATTGTTCTCAAATACAGCCCATGTTGATTAACACAATGTGAAGAGTGCCACCTGCCATGAGGGAGGACTCCATTGGCCTGGAACCCGAGAGAAAGTACTTGTCTCATGTCTTCCCCAAGTCATTATAGAATTCTCTACTGTTTCCTCCCTGGCTCCCAGTATCAAAGTTTGATTGAAAGGGTATAAAATAAGGGGGAGAAATTGTACAGTATGTAGAAGATTTGTTAATTAGTGAGTCCAGAAAAGAAGTTTCTTACCCACCCTAGATTTGATGGACCAGTGTCACCCTGAAAACTCAGCTTTCAAACTTGTTGACACAGTTTCTAAAGAACTTTCCCAGGACAGTAACTATAAACATAGATATGTGTACATTCCTTCTGTTACACGTCTCTCGATAGACATCTCTCACGGCCAGTGCGGTTGGAAGGGTGCTATCCTGACTACCCAATCCCTGGCTGTGATCAGAAACCTATAAATTGTGAGAGAAGTTCTCTCCTTTCCTTCACCATATCTTGAGCAGCGACCGTGTGGCTTACTTCGTGTCCAACAGCGACATCTGATGACCCCGACGTGCAGGTGACGGTAACAGGGTACTGTCTAGCCTGTAGCTATGGCTGCTTTTGGGTTCTCTCCTACGGAGGGCCTGGTTATGGGAATATGGCGTGCGGTGTTTGATCAGAAAGGGGTTGATGTTTCGGATGCTGACTTTCAGCAATTGTATGAGTATGGGAGAATTGAAGGGTTTTTCCCTGTGGTTGAGGCGGTTTCTTCAAAGCCGCCTTGGGATGCATTAGGCAATTCCCTAATCGAGGCTATGGTGGTAGATTATGACCCCTGCCTGGCCCGGCTGCTGCAGATCTGGTGGCGTTGTGACTGCGTTCTGAGTAGTTGCACGTCCTCTCCTGCTGGTTCTGTGGCTGCTCTCTCTGACCTGGATGAGTGAGATGACTCTGATGCCAGTTGTGGGAGCGAGGTGGAGCTCTCCCTCCCCCCCGGTGATGCGGAGCCGGTGGATGTAGCCCCGCCTCACCTGGTGCCCCAGCGGCGGAGGTCTGGAGCGGGGTTGGGTCCCGGCCAGCGGGCCGTCGGAGGCACCGCGGAGCCGGGGGATGTAACTCCGCCACGTCCGGCGCCCCGGCGGCGTAAACCTGGGGTGGGGCTGCCTCATTTGTGTGTCTTCCCAGCACAGACCGATGGGGGGTCGCCTGAACAGGAGGCGGTGCCGTCCCTGGGCGCGATGTCACGGACGGTCCCATGTCCCCGCTGTGGCTGGGCTGTGCTGTACCCCGCAGTGGGGGATGCGCACACTGTTCCAAAGGAGGGCTGGCCGATGCCCATTCCTGGCTTTTGCGCTCCCGAAGAGATGCTAACTGTTAGGGGACGATTCTGAGCGCTGCCCCACCCCGCTCCGGATTTGTGGGGCGTGGGGAAGGGTGCTGCGAGTGGTGCTGACGCCGGGCCAACCGCCAGCTCTATGGTGCGGTTTTACCCTCCTGCGAGCCCGGGACACCCCTGGCAGTGGAGCGGGACGGTACCACGGCCCTGCGGGCTGTGCCTTGACCAGCGCCGTGGTCCCCCCCTGTGCTGGAGGCAGACTGCACTGCGCTAGCTTCACCTCGCCCCGCCTTGGGTTCCCGGGCATCGCCCGAGCCTGCAGCTGGAGACGGGCCCCCCTGTCGCCTCCTGTGGCCACGGTGGATCAAGGTCCTCCGCTGTTTACCATTGGTTCGGGTGGTGATGCCACGGGGACGAAGCCAGTGTCCTCCATGGGGAAAGGGTCCCCGGCTAGCCTGTGGACCTTGCCTCCCTGACAGATAACTGTGCGGCTGCGGGATCAGAAGCGCTTTTGGGGCTTAGCTGTGAGGGCTAAGGTTGATGAGGTTGATGACGGCCCCCTGGACGGTGAGGATGGCTCCTCGGGTTCCACTGGTGTTACAGCGGCTGTGGCACCGGATGCTGTTGTGAGGTCTTCCTGCCAGGTGCCTGGTCCTGTCTCGGGGGACTCTCCGAGACAGGATGCAGCAAGTGAGGCCGCTCCTCCGGATGGGTATCAGGCATTCCCTATGTTTCAGGATGTGGCTCAGAGGACTTACCAGCTGGTATCCTGGAAGGCCTTGATGGATCTCCAGGAGACAGCTGAAACACATGGGCTTGGGTCGAATGAGGTTATGCAGGCTCTTCGGGGCCTTGTGGGTGGTGTCCTTGTACCTTATGATAACAGGAATATAGCCTGTGTTATTTTTCAGCTGGTGGAGTATGGCATTTTTGAAGGGGTATGTGCTGAGATAGCTTGTCAAGTGGTGCAGCAGA